TTCCTGCTTCCAGGATTTTAAGGAAATCCAGCATGAGCAAAAGGCACCAAGACCTTGGATAGAGGATGAAGGCCACAGGAGCCAAGGCTGTTTATACAGACATCTTTATTTGCAGCTACCCAGGAGAGCTTTCAGAGCCCCAACATTGCAAGCCACAGGCAAGCCCAGCCCGGGGTGGTCACACAGTTGACTGTAGCTGTGCCTCTCACAGAGCTTCAGCTGCCACCACGCAGCTGAGGAGAGGCAGCAGGTTCAGGCACCAGCACATCTCAATCTTCAGGTTCTCCCAAGCACATATGGTGCTGGCCCAGCAGCACACATGGTAGCAGCAGAGCTGCAAGGGGATGCTCTATTTTCCATATTGACTCCGGGTCTCACCCCTGGGCATAAGGATCTCATGCAGCAGTGACAGGAGTGTAGCATTGTTGAAGGCCATCATCCTCCAGGAACAGAGCCATTTTGTTCATTAATACTTCATCACAATATTCCTAAGCCTGTCCAGTTGTCAAGCTGAGCTCCTTCACGTACTGCTCCCCCCTGCTTCCCAACTTCCCAACTCCCACTCTTTGCCCCAGACTTCCTTGTATGCCACTGCACAGCACACCACAAGCTTACTGAACCACCCGCAGTCTCAGTGGAAGAGATCCTGCTTCTCAAGAGCTGGGGTGGCAGGAGCTCGGGCACAGCCCAGACTCGGGCAGAGGTCTGCGGGCAAGCAGCCCACGCTCCTGCCTGCCCAGGGAAGGGAGGTCACCCATCCCTACAGGGGAGCCAGGCGGTGTACGCACCACAAGCGGCCTAGCACATCTCTGCCTCCAGCACAACTGTTACGTTCTGTTCACGCCCCTTCTGGTTCGAGCTGATTAAGAAAGATGAACATTGTTGATTATGATAGGTTTATAAAAATTTTTTTAATCACACAAAACTGAAGTTTGTGATGAAGACTAAGTTGACAGTTCCTCTTAAATACCAGTATGCATAAGACATTGCATTAGGCACTAGGCAGCAGCCAACATCAGTTAGAGTCTGGCAACAGAAGCCATTTTAATACCCCCCTTCATACTCTGTGGAGTTACAGGCTTTTGCAATACATATTGTTTCCACTGACAAGTTATCCGAGGTTCCCCCCACCCTACCTCTGTACATCAGTAAACCATGTGTATTCACACTTGAGTAGGGTTAACAACATTAGTGGCATCACAACCATCAAAAAATGGACAATTTTCTATACAAGATTTTTGCAAAAGTTGCAACAGGATTAGTGCATTACGACAGAACTGGAGATAGAAAAAAAGAGTTGGCATGCTAGAGTCCAACACAAATAAAGACAACAGGCAGCTAGTTGTATGTACTATATTGACAAGATACTGATTGGTTACATGAAGAAACATACAATACAAAATACAGAAGAAACCAGTTTTGCTTCCCTCTGCCCCACCCCAGAATACTCATAATTGATTTGGTCAATAAGTGGCTGAAAAGCCAGAGTTTGTCACTATAATGCTACAGTTTAGTGGTTGTTCTAGGCATATCGTACTGGTATTAGCCTTAGCTTTTACATATGGGTAATTTTAAACAAGGTTGGCTAGTCTCAAGATCCCTTTGTTTCCAATAGTGAGCTACAGTACTGTGGGACCTGGGTGCTGCTGGCCCTCACCCGTGGGAAGGGATGAGCCGGCTGGGCAGACACCAGGTCATGCATCCACCACCACCAGAAGAGGGAAGAGCAGAAGTTCATATATTAAAAAAGTGACTTAAGACTTAGAATTGAATTAGTATTTGTACAGAAAGGTGCAGGTGGAAGAACTCCCTCCAGCCTATGATCAGAAAGGGATGGAGAAATCACAGCAGCCACCGGCAGCAGCCGCTCTACGGTAAGTGCGATTGTTAGCTTGGATTCCAGTCACGTCGTTCGAGGGCTCCGTCAGGCGGGAACGGCTGCTCAATTGCTGCAGCACTGGCTCCTGCTAGGCTGACTGCTCTCCTGAAGGTCAACCACCCGATTCCTACCTGGGCCACCAGGAATGTTCTGGGGTTCATTTTTTGGCAGTTTCTTGGCTAGAAAGAAACAAGACATTAGTAGGCTCCTCCACAGAGGCCAACCTCCTCCTCACTGCAGACCACAGGCTAGGCTCAGCCCTGCTTTGGCCCAAGCCCTCACCTCTTAAGGAGTTTGGGACTGGACATTGCTAGCAGGACAAGTACAGCAAATAAATTCACTCCTAGTTCTGGCTGTCAGTCCTGCTCCTTCCTGACTCACCAGCCCAGACAAAGGGAGAGAGGGAACAGGCTTTGCAAGGCAAAGGCTCCAAACACTCAGGGACTGACTGTTCCCAAAAGTATAGCAAACTGGTCCTCTACTCCAGTAAGAACCTCCAGACCCTGGCTGACACAGGAGCTCCCACAGTTTCCAGTAGGCTGCACTGCTGGTGCTCAGAGCTACTCCAGCCATCCTTCTGCACACAAGCTGTTACCTATTGCCATGAAGATTTCATTCACATTCATCGCTGTCTTTGCCGACGTCTCCATGAACAGCAAGCTGTTGTCATCTGCATATGTTTGTGCATCCTACAAACAATCACAGTAGAGTGGTAAAGGCATCCTGCCAAAGGGAGGAGCCAAGCAGGCTTCACATGCTTCACTTGTTGGTGAACTGCACACTGAAGAAACCCTGTCCCACCCCAGGCCAGACATTCCCATCCCAGTCCCCTGACCCTGCCTGGCCAGGACACATGGCTGGTGTCCCAGCTGGGGTACAGCAGCACAGACTGTTTGAGAGCCATCTGTAGACACAGCATGTCACGAGCAGCACTACACCTTGTACTTTGGTTAGCTGAGTGATACACACTGTAAATGCACCACAAGCAATCCTGTGCAGAAGTCTGAGATAAGAGCTTCTCCTTGAAAGTCTGCCTTAGACAAGGCAAGAGCTGTGAAGAATAGAGAAGCTGGGAATGATTCTTCATGTGTCTTGTATCTAAAGGATGCTGTTTCATACGCTGCTGGAGACAGCCCTAGAGGAGTGAGGCACCAGAAAGACTGAAGATGGAAGCTTGTGCTCTGTGGGCCTTATTCTCCACATTTGTCACAATTGTTACAGACAAGAGCTACAAGTGCTGTGAAAGAAGTACATGGTAAAGGCAGGCGACAGTTCCCTTTCAGTGGCATCCTGGGGTCCTCAGCAGCATAAATCTTGACTTCCACTCTCCCTCAAAGCATTTCACACATAGCTGCCATTTCCCCCAACTTAAGCAAAAAAACTGCTTTCCTGACTTGCTCAGGTAACAACTGATCTGCATTCCTACTCACCTGGAAGTCCACAGCTCTCTTGGTAGCAAGGTCTGCCTTGTTTCCTGCTAGTGCAATTACAATATTGGGGCTAGCCTGCCTCTGCAACTCTTTCACCCAGTTCTTGGCTCGTACAAATGTGTCCTGGAAGCAAACAGGAGGCAGCAATCAGGAAGAGCAGCCTCTTATTAATCCACAGTGAAGATATGATTAGAACAAGTCTTTCCTGTAAGAAGTGTTCTGCCTCTACAGCACTTTGTAGCAGGATCCTTTATCAGCTTAGACAGCCTTGGTCAGAACTGAGGAAGAGGCTATTAGCAGTTTTCAAGTAACTCAGTACCTGCAAGCAGGCATCTGCAGGGACTTTGAACCCAGACACTCTCCCAGCGAACTGGGAAGCATTAGCTGCAAGCAGACAC